AATATTTTAAGATTTGAAAGAAATCTTAAGAATTTCAAAGAAATTTTGTTTGAATCAAAGATATTTCTGCGTTGTTGTAGAGTCGAAGAAAAAATATTTCTTTGGTTTTAAGAAATCTTTTATTCGAATCAAAGAAATAAACTTTTATCTTCATATGCAAATTTAAAAAAAATATATTTTTGAAAAATATATATATATTTTTTTTTTATTGTTTTTGACAGAACAAATTATTTATTTAAATTCATTACTAGAACAGAATTTATTTCTTGATGCTACAAATAATGTTTTACATCTCTAAATTCATTACTAAATTATTATTATTATTAATTATTGTTATTTATTATTTCAGTATAGTGATTTTTTTTCGTAAAAGCAATTAAAATTTTTTGAATTCAAACAAATTTCATCGTCAATTTAAAAAGTGATTTTGAGGAACCGATTTCTTTACTTGAAACAAATCAAATAAATATTTATTTAAATCAAATAATTTTTATTTAAGTAAAGAAAATTTATTCAAACCAATTTCAGCATATGAAGCAAATACCAATTTAATTAACTGATAATATAACTTGTATAAAAATTATTTAATACAAATGAATATTTATTCGATTATTTCTTTTATTTCACTGAGAAAACATTCTTCATTCAAATACAAAAATAATTTTAAGTTTAATTAAAATCAATTTATAAGCTTATAATCTCAATATTTAGGAAATATTTACTGCTTTGATTCAAAAATATTATTTGTTTAAATAATTATGTTTAATTCAAACATATATATTTTGTTTTGGTTTAAACAAAAAATACGTTTAAAAATTTTATGTTTGATTCAAATATAAACGTTGATTATAAATAATTTAAAATCAACTATAACTTATGTTTGAACTAAATATATTATTTCTTTGAATGAACCAAAAAATATGTTCCAATTAAACTTAGCAAATATGTTTGACTTAGCAAAAATTTTTTAAATTTGATTTAAATAAAATTTCTTGGAATCAAATAAATCGTTTTCTCAGTGCGTTGATGGAAGAAAATAAAATTGTTTACTTAAATCAAATAATTATTTTTCCAATACAAAATCCAGGATTATAAATTTAATTATCTGATTATTTTAAATTGAAATGGAATTTTTTGAGTTTCTTTAATAGAAAATTATTGAATTTTTTCGCCAATTATATATTGAAACATTTAATTAATTTGCTCGTTTCCTGTTGTACATACACACAGCACAATAATGAATTGAAAAGGGGGATTCCTTGTTTTCTCGCGCGAGACATTCATTTATTGTTGCGCGAGGAGAGTTGAAACCGCGAGAGAGTTATTTCATTCTAGAAAGAGAAGATATTATACAATTCCGCTTATACTTAGAGGTATAAAATACAGTCTCCACTTAACCCTGCGACACGCATCACGCCCACTTCCATGTTCAAGTTTCCGGAGATTCTCAACCCCATAAGGCACAAAAGTTATACGTGAATCAAGGTTTCAGTAATATAAACAGTCATTTCCATGTGTATCTATATATATATATATATATATATATATATATATATATATACATAAATATACGAATGAATGCATAATGACTTGAATAGACACGCCCGGCCCGTTGCAATTACATATGTCCAACTATTATAATGAACACGCATTTCTTTGTGATTTATATGTGCATCATTTCTCTCTTTCTCTCGCTTTTTCAAATTTCACTCTTAAAAACTTAAATATTCATTTTGTTGGGAAAAATATTTATGTCTAGACGTGTTAAAAACTTTTACGTCTTTTTAATCGTGTTTTCAAATTAATAATTCAAATTAGTTGATAGAAAAATGGGTTTTGAAATGCATTTTGGGAAATCATGATAGTTACACGTAGGGCTCGGATTGTGCGACTTTTTCGACTTTTTTGTGAAAAAATGCGACTATAATCGACTTTTTCGAGATTTTTTTTTAGTAAAATAAGAATGAAATTTTTCAAATTTTTTTAAATTTAAAGGAAAAGGTTTAAGTCGAAAAAATGTTTTGTTACATTTATTTACAAATTTCTTTCAAATTTTTCGAAAACATCAATAACTTCTTTTTTAAATAAATATTTCATTATTGATATTTACAAAGATAATTGAAATTTTAAAGAGAAAAAAAAAAAAAATTTGAAAATAATTGAATTTCTGTGAAGAATTTTCTTACTCTTGAAAATAATTAAATTTTCAGGATGAACTTTATTATTTATGAAAATAATTTTAAAAAAATTTGAAAATAATTGAATTTCTGCGAAGAATTTTATTACTTTTGAAAACAATTGAATTTCAGAGAAGAATTTTATTATTTATAAAGATAATTGAAATTTTGAACAGATTTTTTTAAAATTGTTTAAAAATTAATTCAATTTTGCAGAAGAATTTTGATATTTATAAAGATAATTTAAAGATAATTGAAATTTTGAGAAGCATTTAAAAAAAATGTTGAAAATAATTTAATTTCTGTCAAGAACTTTATTACTTTTGAAAATAATTGAATTCCTGTGAAAAATTTTATTACTTTTGAAAATAATTGAATTTCTAGGATGAATTTTATTATTTATAAAGATAATTGAAAATTTGACAAGAATTTTATTAAAATTCTTTGCAAATAATTGAATTTCAGAGAAGAATTTTATTACATTTGGAAATAATTGAATTTTCTGTGAATAATTTTAATAATTTTGGCAAATAATTGAATTTCTGCGGAGAATTTAATTAAAAGTTATGAAAATAATTGAATTCTTGCAAAAAATTTTATTAATATTTGAAAAAAAATTTATTTCCCGTAAAAAATTCAATTGAATTTTGAAAATAATTCAATTTTTGCGAAGAATTTTATTAAAATTTCTTAAAATAATTAAACTTCCGCGAAGAAAATTTTGTTAATTATGAAAATAATTGAAATCTTGTAGAGAATTAATTTAAAATTTTTGAAAGTAATTTAATTTTTTCAATGAAATTTAATTAAAATTTTGTATTGAAAATAAGTCAATTCTCATCATGAATTTAATCAAAATTTTTCAAAATAATTGAATTTCTTGAGAAGAATTTTAGTAATAGTTGAAAATAATTGAATTTTTACGATAAATTTGATGAATTTTCGAAAATAAAATGATGAATAAAATGATGAATAAAATTGATGTCATGCGAAGAGTTCAATTATTTTTTGAAAATAATTCAATTCCTTTAAAGAATTATATTAATTTATAAAAAAAATACTGCGAAGAATTTAAAAGTTTTTTTAAAAAAATTGAATTCTTGTAAAGAATTTTATTAATTTAAAAAAATTATTGAATTTCTGTGAATAATTTTATTAATTTTGGCAGATATTTCAATTTCTGCGTAAAATTTTATTAAACGTTTTGAAAATAATTGAAATTCTAGGATGAATTTCATTATTTATAAAGATAATTGAAATTTTGACAAGAATTTTATTAAAATTCTTTGCAAATAATTGAATTTCAGAAAAGAATTTTATTATTCACAAAGATAATTGAAATTTTGAAAAGATTTTTTTTAAAAATGTTTAAAAGTAATTAAATTTTGCAGAAGAATTTTGATATTTATAAAGATAATTAAAATTTTGAGGAGAATTTAAAAAAAGTTTTTTAAATCAATGAATTTCTGTAAAGAATTTTCTTATTTTTGAAGATAATTGAATTTTGCAAAGAATTTTATCAGAACTTTTAAAAATAATTAAATTTTTATGATGATTTTTATTATTTATATAAAATTTTGACGAAATATTTTTAAAAAATTTTTGAATATAATTGAATTTCTGCGAAGAATTTTATTATTTTTGAAAATAATTGAATTGCAGAGAAGATTTTTATTATTTATAAAGATAATTGAAATTTTGACAAGAATTTTATTAAAATTTTTTTTAAATAATTGAGTTTCGGGGAAGAATTTTATTAGTTATAAAAATAATTGACATTTTAAAGAGAATTTTAAAAAAAATGTTAAAAATACCTAATTAAAATTTTGCTATGAATTTTATTAAATTTTTTAAAATTTTATTCCAAATTGTTTGTTATTAATGTATCTGTTGTCGAAAAATGTGATTTTTTTGACAATTTCGTGTTTCCCTTTTGTCGTGTTTTCTAAAATTTCATGCGACTTTCTTCCGACTTTTTCGGAAATTTTATGCGACTTTCCGTGACTTTTGTTGTAAATTTATGCGACTAAAGCGACTTTTTTTGAGTCTTAAAGACGATCCGAGCTCTGTGATAGACAAAATCTTTCTTTAATAATATTAAGCAAAGCATGTATTTTGATATTAAAAATATATTTTTGTATGGGAAAATTTTTTTTTTATTAAAAATATATTTTTGAACGGAAAATATAAACCGTTTATATTGGAAATTCATTTTTTTCCTAGAATTGTATCGAAAAGTTAAACAACTCGTCAAGAATATGACACATGATACACGCCCAAATCGGACAAGTACCTGTTCTATTGTAAATGCGTGTCTGATATTGTAAAAATAAATTCTTTCCAGTAAGAAATGACATAATATGTATTATTCAGTAAATTGATCGAAGTCGAATGCACGCAATCCATATGTATTATAGTGGAAAATATATATTTATTATATAGTCCGATAGATATATATTTATAGATTGTAGACTTAGAACTTAGTGGTAAAAAAATTCGTTAATAATAAATGATAAAATTATTTACTTTTCAATAATAAAAATAATTTAGTTTTAATTTAATTAACAAAATTATTTACTTTCAAATAACAAGATTTTTTATCATATTTTTTTACAATGAACTATAAAAGTTAATTTAATAAAATGTTTGGAATTAAAGAATAAATAAAATTATTCAGGTTTTGACGAATGTTGATGAAAGCAAAACTTTCGTTTAAGAAATTATCAAAAATTTTTTATTATGTTCTATATAAATCTGATCGTTTTTTGTAGTTTTTTTTTCAATTTTAGCATTTTTTCCCAAACGAATTATAGAATCTCTTCTCTAAGTACCGGATTTTTCAGCGCAACAGTAACAGTCATCTTTTCCAAGTGGCTCTTCGAATTTTTTTGTCTGAAAAAAATTAATTTACTGTAATTATATCAGTTTTAGTAATAAAAGAAGACAGTTTTCATTTGCCTACTGATTTTTTAAATTACAATTTGGAGATTTTCAAATACTGTTTTTTACCTTCTCAGCAACAATTTTAGTCCTCTTGTTTGCATCTTCAAAATATGCTTTACACTTTTCCGATGTGCAATTACCTAGATTGCATTTTTTCTTGATTGTATGACATTTGCAGGATTTATTGCAGAGTTTCGTAACTTTTGTTTCTTGCGTTTCTTTCGCTGATGATTTCTGCCCGTCAGAAAATTGAGTCTGCGATATATCCGCGATCAAAAGTGCAAATCATATACGATTCAAACTCAAAAACATATATGCATGCATATAAAGTCATTACTTGGATTAATGGAAAAAAATAATATTTATGATTCACCTGTAATTTCTCCCTGTTCTTCTTCGATGAACCCTTGATACTGAACCACATTCCCCTCCTCGTTGACTCTTCTGTTCCTTCTGGTTTACATGATTCGCCTTCGAATCTACAAAAGAATTTTCGTTTTGTTTTTAATTAAATTTAGCTGATATTTTATAAGGTAGCTGGTCACTTTTACTAATAAATAATTTGCTAATCCTTTTTTTCTAAAAAAAATCGGTTTTTTCAATTTCAACAATTTTTTTTCAATAATATTTTTATTGAGGGGAAAGTCATAAGAAAATTCAGAATTTTGGTGTCTTTTTTGTTTGCCTCATAAACTTCAAAATGTTTCAATTTGAAATTTTATGAAATTTTAGTTTTGAATGAATTTAAGTTAAAAATTTTTGTCAACCTAGATTTTGGAAAAATTTTAATAATTAAAATTCTCTTGAAATAAGTTAAATTTTTTAATATATATTTAATTAATTATTAAAAACAATGTATTTATAGAAAAATTTTAGTTAAAAACACTAAAATTAATTAAATTGTGGAGAAGTTACAAATAATTGGAAAAATTCAACTATTTTCAAAAGTATTAAAATTCTTCGCAGAAATTCAAAATTCTCCAACATTCAATTATTTTCAAAAATTTGTATAAAATTCTTGTCAAAATTTCAATTGTTTTCAAATTTCTTCAATTCAATGATATTCAATATCTGCCATTTAAATAAACTTTTCCAAAGGAATTCAAATACCTACTTGAAAAAAATTTTCAAAAAATTCTACCTACTTTAAGATTTAATTATTATTTTCATAAATAAATAAAATTTTTCACAGAGATTCAATTACTTTTAAAAACAATAAAATACTTTTTTGGAATTCAATTATTTTCATACAAAATAAAACTGATCGCAGATTTCAATTATTTTTTATATACAATTTTAATTGAATTCCTCGAAAAGTGTAATTATTATTAAAAATTTCATTTAAATTTGTCGAATGAATTTAATATTAAGAAACATTCAATTATTCAATAAATTTTTATTTTTGTATTTAAATAATGAATTTCTCGTAGAATTTTGCAAAGAAAATTGATATAAAAATTAATTTCAGTTAAAATTTTAGACAATAATTGAATATTAAAATCATTATAGCATAAATTTTTAGAAATAATTGAATTTTGTGAAGGTTTCGAATTAAAAGTTTTTAAAACTTGAATTTATTGAAAAAGTTGAATTGAATTTTTTTTTTTAAATAATTTAAAGTTTTTATTTTCTAATATATTGAAGAATTTCCGAATAATCGAAATTTCGTAAAATTACATTAATTGTAAACAAATTGATTTGAAAATTCTCAAAGAACTTTTTCAAAAATTATTAAAAATAATTGATTTGAAGAAGAATTTTAGTTGAAAATTTTAGAAGAAATTTTTTTTTTTAGAAGAAATTTTGAAGAAGTTAGAGTAACAATATTCTTATAATATGAAATAATGATTTTATTAATCGTTCATGTTTAATTATTAAAAAACATGAAGATATCGATCACTCCGAGTCGAATAATATTCTTATGAGTTATTGAATTTCAAAAGGTTTGAATTTGAAATTTTTGAAATCTAAATTCCTCTGGAAAAATAATAATGACTAACAATTTATTTTTAAATAATAATTTAAAATAAATTAAAATTTATTTTTAATAAAACTATGAATGTTTTCGAATAATTTTACAATTAAAGAAATTCGTAAATATAATTGTAATAGAACCTTTTTTTGAGTATCCAATAATTTTTGAGTGACTTCAATTTTTATGACAACCCTGATTAGTAAAAGTGTTTATTATTTTAACTAGTGACTGACTTTTTGCTGTTGAATTAGTAAATTTTACTAATATTGGTAACAAAACTTGCTCAAAATGTGAATATAAAGGACTAACTTGTTTTTGCAATTTTTTTTCGCAAACTTTTTCCATTTTTTAAAATTGGTATTCAGGTACTCGGCACAAAAACCAGAACACGCTTCGAATTCGTTCAATTGAGTTGTTTTCTTAGTAGGCTGTGAAGAAACAGTTGGTTTTTCTTCAAATTCAGTTGCATCGTTCAAAATTAACGGCGGCTCATTTTTTTGATAAGCTGGACACTGAACAAAAAGTGAATATTCACGCTGATATTGAACACGCTCTGCGTCACTCGTGGATAATAAGTTTCTGTCCCCAGTTCGTGGCCTTAGAATAACTTCCGGTTGTTTATGATCCCATTCTTCAACTCTTCTTCTCCTGATTTCTTCATCATTGTCACGTCTAACTTTTTGTTTTGTTATCTTAGTTATTTGTTTTTCTATTTTTACATTCTTATCTTTTTTCTTCTCAATTAGTTTTTGTAGTTTTAGTTTTCTATCCGCTTCGATACATTCATTTTTGGCTTTTTCGTTCCTCATGCGGAAATATTCGTCTATTTGTTGTTCCCTTATTTTACGATTTGTATCTTGTTGTTTTAAATCTTTTTCTTTTGGAGATCTTTTCCTTGTTTTTGGAGAGATTAAAGGAGTTTTGTACGTGTCGTTGATTTTTCTGTGGGTTTCTATGTTCTTTTCCCTTTGTGCTAGATTTTCCATTTTTACTTTCAGACTATCTTCCCTTTCTTTTCGTATTTTTTTGTCAATTTCGAATATTTGTTGCTTTTCTCTCTCTGCTTTTTCTCTTTCTTGGGATATTTCTTCCTTTTCCTTTTCTAATTTTTCCCGTTCTTTGTCTATTTTTTCTCTTTCTGCTTCTATCCGTTCTCTTTCTTGTTCTATTTGTCCTCTTTCTGTTTCTATTTTTTCTCTTTCGATTCTTTCTTTTTCTATTATTTGATTTTCTTTTTCTATCCGTTTCTTCTCTTGTTCCATCTGCCTTTTTTCCATTTCTATTTGCTCATTTTCTATTCTCTCCCTTTCTTTTTCAATTCGTTCCTTTTCTTGTTCGATTTGTCTGCTTTTGATTTCCATTTTTTCTGTTTGCATTAATACTTTTTGTATTTGTTCCTTTTCTATTCTTTCTCTTTCTTTTTCTATTTGCTCCTTCTCGTGTTCTATTTGTTCTCTTTCTTGTTCTATTTGCCATCTTTCGGTTTCCAATTTTTCTCTTTCGATTCTTTCTTTTTGCATTATTTCTCTTTCTTTTTCTATTCTGTCTTTTTCTTGTTCCATTTGTCTTCTTTCCATTTCTATTTGTTCTTTTTCGATTCTCTCCTTTTCTTTTTCTATTCTTTCTTTTTCATGTTCTATTTGTCGACTTTTTGATTCCATTTCTTCCATTTTTTCCCTTTCTGATCTTTCTCTTTTTTCCCTTTCTTCACTTTCTATTCCCTTTCTTTGAATGCTTTCTCTTCTTCTTTGTTCTCTTTCTTCATCTTCTATTCTTTTTCTTTCAGTGATTTCTCTCTCCATTTCTTCTTTCATTTTTTCTCTTTCTTTCTGCATTTCTTCTTTTTCTATTGTTTTCCTTTCAGTGCTTTCTCTTCTCCTTTTTTCTCTTTGTTCTTCTTCTGTTTGTTTCCTTTCGATGATTTCTCTTTGTTCTTCTTTAATTCTTTCTTTTTCTTTTTGCATCTCTTCTTTTTCTATTCCTTTCTTTTCAATGCTTTCTCTTCTCCTTTTTTCTCTCTCTTCATTTTCTATTTTTTGCCTTTCAATGATTTCTCTTTCCATTTCTTCTTTCATTCTATCCCTTTCTTTTTGAATTTCTTCTCTTCCCCTCCTTTCACTACTTTGTCTTCTCTTTTCTCTTTCTTCTTCTTCTATTCTATCCCTTTCTCTTTTTATTTCTTCTCTTCCCCTCCTTTCGCTACTTTGTCTTCTCTTTTCTCTTTCATCTTCTTCTATTCTTTCCCTTTCTTTTTGAATTTCTTCTCTTCCCCTCCTTTCGCTACTTTGCCTTCTCTTTTCTCTTTCTTCTTCTTCCATTCTTTCCCTTTCTCTTTTTATTTCTTCTCTTCCCCTCCTTTCGCTACTTTGTCTTCTCTTTTCTCTTTCATCTTCTTCTATTCTTTCCCTTTCTTTTTGAATTTCTTCTCTTCCCCTCCTTTCGCTACTTTGCCTTCTCTTTTCTCTTTCTTCTTCTTCCATTCTTTCCCTTTCTCTTCTTATTTCTTCGTTTTCTATTCTTCTCCTTTCACTGCTTTGTCTTCTCTTTTTTTCTCTTTCTTCTGCTTCTTCTGTTCTTTCCCTCTCTGTTTTCATTTTTTCGTTTTCTATCCTTTTTCTTTCTGTACTTTCTCGTCTTTTTTCTTCGCTATCTATTCTTCTTCTTTCATTACTTTGTCTTCTCTTATTTTCTCTTTCTTCTTCTTCTTCTTCTTCTTCTTCTTCTATTTCTTTTTCTTTTTCCCTTTCTTCTTTTATTCCTTCCCTTTCTCTTAGCATTGCTTCATTTTCTATTCTTCTCCTCTCGCTGCTTTTCCTTCTCTTCTTTTCTCTTTCTTCTTCGTCCATTTTTTCTCTTTCTGTCTCCATTTCTTCTTCCTCCAATTGTTTTCTCTCTTTTTCCATTTTCTTCCTTTCTCTTTTTAATTGTTCCCTCTCTATTTGTTCTATTTCCATTTCATCATCTTCTTCTTTTCCTTTTATTTTCTCCTTTTCTTTTCGTCTTTTCTTTTCTATTTGCCTTTTTTCTTTTTTCAAATTTTCCATTTCTTCATCGCCACTATCGATTCTCTCCTGTTTGTAAATTATTATTTTATCATTTATTACTGTCGTATTCTCCTCCTCGTCAATTATTACTTTTTTATCTGTTTCCGATTTTTGCCATTTTTCATCTTCTTTTCCTTCTAATTTTATCGAAATTCTCAGTTCCTCTTGTTTGGGTTTTATGCGAATTTCCTGTTCATTCTTTTTTTTTGTTTCCTTCTCTTTACTGCGTTTTTTTCGACTTTTCTTTGGTTTTTCAGTTTTTTGTTTAGGGCTTGATTTCTTTTTCTCCTCAGTTTTTAATGTCGTTGTTGATCCTCTTTTTTTCTTGACGCTCTTAGACTTTGACTTTTTAGGTGTTTTGGTTACCTTGGACTTTTTCTTTTTCGGCGAATTACAACAAAAGCAGAGTTTTTTTAATTTTTGAAATTTTCCCCCCGACTTTTTGGCTGTCGATGTGCTTGCATTGGATGTCGAGGCGTCCGTTTGGACTGATTGACTTTCATTTTGTTGACCTGAAAATTCAAGAGCAAAAATTTTTAAATTATAATTAACGATAATTAAAATAATTTATTATTTATAACCTTTTTTTAATTTAGCAATATTTTGGAATTTTTATAAAAAAATTTTTGAGATATTTTGAATTCACTTTTAAAATTGAAATTGTTTACTAAATACAGTTTTAATATATACTTCTAAGTAATTACCTGTTTCCGAATTCATAATTGACATTGTAAAATTGTTGAGGATTTAAAAAACTTTATCATTCTATTGAACTTTCATTCGGACTCCAACCTTAAAGTTGGAAATCCAAGTTGTATTTTTTAAATACATGAGAGTACTTGTACGAAAGTATTTTTTTTTTGAAAGATTGTACTACTTGAAAAAATGGCTGAAAACTTCTACAAACCAAAAATATTTTTCATTCTTTTAATTACTAATCACAGTGTATTTTTTATTGTTTATTATTAACACTAATGAATTTATCAGCAAGTGAAAATAATCGATTCAAAAGAAAAATCGACTATTTAAACAAGATTTTATTTTTATTTTCTTTTTTAAGATTTAATTACAATTTGAATTACTCTCCAAATTTTAATATTTATTTTTTATAAATAAAAATATACTATTATAAATATTGTCATTATATTATTTATTTATAATTAGGTACAAATAAATAAAATTATAAATTTGACATATTTTTGTTCAATGATAAATAATATTGGAATTACAATATTTTCTACTTTTTTAAATTTGATTTAATTTTTTTATAAATAAAATATTTTTGGTTTTGTAAAAATTGAAAAATATATTTATTTTAAGAGAAACGTGAAATAGAATGACTATTACAGTAACAATGAGATATTTCGGCGGCACATGACAACGAACAACTGGAACAAGGACAATTTGAAGTTCTTGTTAAAGCATTTTCACGAAATAATAAATATGTTTTTGAACTCATTTTCCTATTTTCTTTTCCCTGAAGTGTTGAACTTCTTGCAATAATTGTTACTCCATCCTCTTCAATTTCATTTTCAATTTCCTCGACATTATTCTGATAAAAATCATTTTTAAAAAATGGAGAAAATAGAATAATAAGGGATTTTCTTTTTCCGTTTTTGTCAATAAAATTTAAATGGTGAAAAATTACCCGCATTATTTCTTGGTCACGTTGCATTTTACGCTTTCCTCCAGAATGTCAATATTTTAAAGAGCTTAAAATCCAGTGTTGTAAATATTTTTTGGGGTACACCGCAGACAAGTAAATCTTCTAAAGCCAAAATCGTACCGCCATTTCCTGTTGAAAGCTATACCTTTTCCTAGAAACCGGAAATGCTAAAGATTAGACCTAATATATATGACATTTTGAAAACTGTAAACGTTGTATGCAACCACACACTCTTGCGGCTTGTTAATTTATTAGAAGTGTAAATTATATTATTTACTGACTTTTTTCAGAAAGTAAAATAATTGTTTTTATTTATATGAATGAATTTTAGTTTCATTTTTATTATGTTTATTATTTTTATTATTTTAGTATTATTTTTGTTATTTTAGTATTTTTTTTATTATTTTAGTATTATTTTTAAAGATAATTCAGTGTAAGTGGAAAAACAGTTAGCCTCGGACTATTTTCCTTAACCTGTTGTCTCTTTTATATTATTTGAAATGTCAGTTGACTTTTTAAAGAAACCAAACTGTTTTATACTTACATCAGTGTCAAATTTGATTAGGCGGATACCTTTGAATTTTCAAGATACAATCTGAACAAGAACACCAGCTGGTTAGCGTTTCACCATCATTTACCTCTTCAAAAGAAAGTTCCCATTTCTCGTCAGAATTTATTGTCTTCGAAGAATTTATTGACATTTGCTTTTTCATTTACAATCTTTTGTTTTCTCAAGTAACACTCTCTCAACTCTTGATTTTTATACCAAAAAAGTTTCGTTTCTCCATCACAATGCATTTCAACTTCCTGCTTTTCTTACAGTAGATTTATTTTTAGCAGAATAATCTTTATTTTATTTCTTTTAATTTCTTTTCCTAAATTTCATTAATCAATTTTAGAAAAAAATTCTTTTTACCATTAATATCATCATTATCTTTCTCTATCATTCAAAAACGTGTAGGTTCAATATTCCTAAACAGTATAAATATACATTCGTGTATTTATACGAATCCTTTCGAGACAAATTAAGAGTTAAAATTCTTTATTTCCCCCTTTCCATTGATGCTAATTGTGCAATTCATATATCGTATAACAGAGAAAAAATTTCATCACCCATATGAATAAAATTAAAAGAGAAAAAAAAGTTGACCTTTCATCGTAAAAAGTGATCAATTAATCTTTCCGCATAATAATAAAGACTTTAGTTTCGGAAAAAAAAGAGAAGAGTGGATTGAATTCGAGACTGTCTGAAAGTCGTAATATACGCAGAGAGGAAAGAATACATGTATATACCATTCAGACAAGGATATTGTATAATATAATCGCATTGAAGAATAGTCGAGTCTTCATTGGGGAAACAAAGTGAATCGACATTAATTTCGACACTACGATATGTCGGTGTCATTCATGTGTAAAGCGAGCGAGACCCAAAAAAGATTCATCTCGTGGTTTTTCGATGCGTTTTATAAACCCGACGTGAAGAAAAAAAAGCACCATATATACTGAGAAAGCGATCTCACGCATTTCTGAATTTCCATTCTGTGCGCAGAACAACTTCTATTTGCCTTCTCATGAGGTCGACCGCAGATAATAAAGAAATGCATTGTGCATACCAATAAGCATCAAATAAATTCTTTCGTCGATCCAAATGTAAACCAGAATCTCGCAGGTGTCATTTAAAATCATATACATGCGCATAAATATTGAATTTTTCTTCTTCATTTTCTTTCTCGTTTTTCTCTTTCTTCTTTTTCTTGTTCGTCTATATGATGAGGCGATAAAGAGTCTCAACGAGATTCTCCGCGGAAAAATGAAAATTCTCTTGTGTGTATACTCGAGGAAATATATAGTTCTATTCAGTTGCAAAACACCTTTTAGGGTTTTCTAAATTTCTCAATAGAAGTCAAATGTCTTATGAAATATGGTGGGGCTCCTAATCGGTCGAGCCTCTTAAAATTAGAGTATTCAAGTGCAAAAGAGGTATTCTTTCGTTTCTAAAAGAGAGGCATATAGAACGTTTTGGTGTCTTCGACTCAGGGTGGCCATGAAAAGATAAAACTTTTCCCTGTGGTGGTCCCTCTATTAGTGTTTAAGAGACCTTCATTAAAACCACGAAATTTGTTCTTTGATATTCAGTACAATAAACTGGACCCATTTAAATGTCATATTATAAATTAAATTCCTCGAAATATTTACATGTCAAAAAAAGATCATCTTGAGAATTGACTATATGGGCATTTTTAAGACGAGAAGCTTCGGCTTTTTTTCTCACGGAATTCTTAAGTAGCAGTTTTTGGAATTTAATTTTTTAATTTTGTTTTCGAATAAAAAAATGCTATTATATGTATCAGGAGAAGGAAAATGTTACTGATTCTTTTATTTTATCTTATTCTGATTCTTCTAATACTATACTTCTGAGATATGCAAACTATATCATTTGACTGAAATTTTTAACTTTTGTAGTTAGAAATGACTAAAATAAACAACTGCAAATTTTTTGGGAAAATTACCAAAACTATTGACAGCATTTACAGAGTTGCCACAGGTCTGGGAAATCAAGAAAAAGTCAGGGAATTTTATTAAAAGTACTGGAAAAAAATTAATTTTGCGAATTCATAAGAAAATTATGAATTTTGGTGTTTTTTTTTTTTGTCTCATAAGCTATGAAATTGACACTAATTTTAATCTAAAACCTTCATTTTTTTCTATTTCTGACAATGATCTATTTTAAATAATTTAATTCTTGAAAAACTATCATAAAATCGATACTTATATAAATTATTTAATAAACAATTTTATACTTAAAAATTTCAAAAATAATTGAATTTTATAAGACTTGCATTTACAATTTTCATAAATAAATTAATTTCAAAAGGTTTCAATTTGAAATTTAAGAAAATTTGAATTTTTAATAAGTTTAATTAATTAGAAATTTTAAAGAACTCCGTTTTTTGTAAAATTTTATTAATTCAAATTCTTTTGAAAATAGTTAAATTTTTTATACTTAAATATATTATTATTTAATATTATTTCAAAAATTTGAACGCAATTCTTCAAAAGAATTCAATTATTTTGATAAATATCAAAATTCTTTCCATAAATTCAATTATTTTCAGGAAATTTAATAGTATTCTTTGCAAAATTCAATTATTTTCATAAACAACAACATTCTTCAGAAGAATTCAATTCTTTTCAAAAGTAATAAAACTGTTCGCAAAAATTCATTTACAAAAAATAAGTTGTATGTATAGTTCAGTTTTAATTTTGACTTCACACGCAGAGTTTTAATTTATTTAAGTTTTTTTTTTTAAATTTCTGTGTTGTGTTATTATAAATGTGTGCGTCATCATAATATCCATGTTTATTAGTGTTAATTTATTTATTTAACTTGATGTTAATGTTTATTTATTTATTTATTACAAAATTGGTTTTATAATCTTTTATAGTTATGACTCCAAACTCTATGAATTCTCTGACGTTTGATGGGTGAATTTATTTTTATTTTTTGCTGACGAATGTCTATTTATTAATTTTTATTTTTGACTCCCTGAAGAGGAAATCATTTAGATTTCGAAACGTTGGAGTAAACTAATTTTTAAAAACTATTTGTCCGAATGTTTTCGTTTCATTCTCCTTTACTATACAAAAAATAACATATTCAATTCAACAAATAATAACATTTTTTACTGGAATTCAATTATTTAAACATTTTTAATAGAGTTCTTTGCAAAAACGTATCAAAATTTTTGTTAGTAAAATTTGCTGCTGCTAATTTATTTGTCGATTTTACAATTTTTATTAACCCCTTCGCTGTGAAGAGAAAAATCTATAAAGTGGGTCCAAAATGTTAAGAAATTTTTTGGCAACCAAAATTTGTGAGATTCAGTACACTTAAGTTTTAGGGGTCGCTGATGACGAATCTGAAGTCAGATTTTCAAAATTCAAAATGGCGGATCCAAAATGGCGGACGTATTTTTTTGAATTCATCGGATTCGCTTGAAACTTGTTACTCGGGGGTTTTCAGGGTCGCTGATGACGAATCTAAAGTCAGATTTTCAAAATT